CGAGTTGGTTTCAGGATTTTCTCTTTGTCTCTGAGACTCGTAAGTTTTACTATTAGATGTCGGGCTGTTGACCTATTTTTATTGATTTTGAGTGGGGTTCTCTGTGCCTCCTGGATTTTGATGCCTGTCTCCTTCCCCAAATTAGGTAAGTTCTCTGCTATAATTTGCTCCAATATACCTCCTGCGCCTCTCTTTCTTCTTCTTCTTCTTCTTCTTCTGGGATCCCAATTATTCTAATGTTGTTTCGTATTATGGTATCACTTATCTCTCAAATTCTGCCCTCGTGGTCCAGTCGTTGTTTATCTCTCTTTTTCTCAGCCTCTTTATTTTCCATCGTTTGGTCTTCTATATCACTAATTCTCTCTTCTGCCTCATTTATCCTAGCAGTTAGAGCCTCCAGTTTTGATTGCACCTCATTAATAGCCTTTTTGATTTCAACTTGGTTAGATTTTAGTTCTTTTATTTCTCCAGAAAGGGTTTGTCTCATAACTTCCATGCTTTTTTCAAGCCCAGGTAGTATCTTTAAAACCATCATTCTGAACTCTAGTTCTGACATCTTACTAATGTCCGTATTGATTACATCCCTGGCAGTCAGTACTGCCTCTTGTTCTTTTCGTTGAGGTGATCTTTTCCGTCTTGTCATTTTGTCCAGAGGAGAATAGATGAATGAGAGAACAAAATGCTAACAGGGTAAGAACATTCCCAGAAAAGATTCACTAAACAAATCAGAAAAGACCTGAAACTGGGGGAAAAGAAAGTGAAAGAAAGGAAAAAGAAAAAATAAGAAAAAAGAAAAAGGAAAAGATAAAAACAAACAAACAAAAACCAAACAAAAAAACCAGAATATGATCAAATATGATCAGGCTGGTGCATAGATCAGTGCCACACATTAGATTTTGGGTGTATTTTGGTCTGTTAGGAGAAAGTGCCTCCCAAAATTTTAAAGAAAGGAAAACTTATATATGTACAAAAATAAGGGTTAATACTATGAAGGGATGGAATATGATTGTAAAGATGAAGATTATAAAAGATTTTATAAAAGGAATTGATAAGAAGTTGGTTGAAAAAAGAAAGAAGAGGATTTAAAAAAAGGGTGGGGGGAGAATGTGATCAGGCGGGAGACTAGAACAAAGCCATACACTAGAGATTTAGGGTATATTTTGATGTGTTAGAAGAAACTGTATCCCAAAATTTTAAAGAGAGAACAACTTTTACATATATATGTACATACCAAAAATAAGGTTAACTACTATGAAGGGACAGAATATGACTCTAAAAATGAAAAATAAAAAACATTTTTTAAAAAAGTGATTGATAAGATGTTGGTTGAAAAAGGGAAAAAGAAAAATTAAAAAAAAAAAAACCACTTAACTTTGAAAGACTAAAGAAATATGGGGAAAAAGCCATGAATTCTATGTGCAGTATTCCCCTAGTGCTGGAGTTCTGCCATTCTCATTGATTGGTAAACTTGGTCTTGGCTGGCTGTTCTTGCTGATCTTCTGGGGGAAGGGCCTGTTGCCATGGTTCCCAAATGTCTTTGCCGGAGGCGGAATTGTCCCGCCCTTGCTGGGTCCAGGCTATGTAATCTGCTTGGGTTTGCTCTCTGGAGCTTTTGTTCCCTGCAAGCTTTCCGTACAGCTTTGGAGGATGAGAGTGAAAATGGCGGCCTCCCAATCTCCTGCCCAGATGAGCTGAGAGCTTGGGGCCCCACTCTTCAGTGTGCCTCCAGAGAAAAGCAGTCAATCACTCCCATTTCCCCAGTCTCTGGCTGCACTCCGTGCTCACCCGGCCTGTGACCGAGCATTTCTATCTCTGGGTCACAACCCCATGTGGAGTCTCCAAACCCAGCAGATCCCTGCAGTGCGCTCCCATGCCACTCCTCCCTGGGGAGGAAGGGGAGTCTCCCTGGATCTGCCGCTTGTTGGGTCCCTGCTGGAGGAGCAGTGGCCCGACTGTGCTGTGGATCACAGTTTATGGCAACCCCGAACTGAGAGCCTGTGCCTCGGCTCTATCTCTGCAGCCAGCTTCCCTGCTCTGATACCTGGGAGCTCTGCCGCACTCCAGCACCCCCCGGTCTTTCTGTGATCCTGAGGGTCCTGAGACCACACTGTCCTGCGAGGGTTCCACCCCCTGCTTAACCACTGGAGCGACGTCCCTCAGTGGAGCCGGCTTCTAAAAGTTCCGATTTTGTGCTCCGCTGCTCTATCACTTGCCAGAAGCGGTCGACGGAGGCCCCCTCCCCACCGTCTACCTTCCCGAATATCTTCTCGGATTCATTTCTCTGCGCCTCCTACCTTCCAGAAAGTGGTCGCTTTTCTGTTCTGAGAGTTGTTGCTATTCTTTTCTTCAATCTCCTGTTGAGTTCATAGGTGTTTAGAATGGTTTGATCCTTATCCAGCTAATTTCCTGGGACCAGACGAAATTTAGGTCTCCTACTCCTCCACCATCTTGCTCCGCCCACCCAGATTCAGTTCTTATGTCACCCACTTTGCATAGGCATCTCAGCCTTTCCCAAGAAGAGCTTGGAAGCAACTCTTTTGCTCTTCTCCACGTATGTGCATGTATTTTCTGTGGTATTCATCCTATTGTTTTTTTGGTACATTGTTTCCCCCCTAGACTGTAAACAACATACATTTATAAGGCACAGGTCTTATTCATCTTTGTATGCACTATATCTTGCTTTATATGAGGACAAAGTCATTTCTCAATAAGTGATCTGTTGAATGAACAAATGAATGAGTGGCATGAGCAAAATGTTTTGTTCAAATAAATGCTCCATCAGCGTTTTCTACATTGTAAATGAGGACGTGGGAGACTGAAAATTTCATTGGTGTTGCTAAACTATCATCAAAGATGAAATTTGACCCACGTCTAGGACTGCAATTCTATAAACAGAATATCTTTATAAACAGATTTGCTGGGCTAAGCTGGTATATTTATTTAAAAAGCTGGACATCCAATCAGATTTTCCTAGAAAAAGGACCTTCTCTGCCATACTTCTAATGAAGGACCTGCTCAGAGTTGTGATTCTTAGGAATAACACAGCAGAAGACAATTATATTAACAAATTCTCACCTTTCCGACTAGTGCAGGGATATTCATTGAGTTAGTTGCAAACCCCATCCCAAAGACCATAGCTGCTTCTACATTCAGGAACTTAGCCACAAGGTTCTCCAATTCTTCATGCTTATCCAAGGTTCCTGCACATGAAATGATGGGATGAGTGCATCTTCTCTTCTCAACAAGTTTGAAAACTCAAAATCCAGTGCATACCCATCACCAAAAGAAATGTGCTACACAAGAGAGTGTGTAGCAGGTATATTTGCCACAGCCACAATCAAGAAACAACCCACATGTCCACATACTGTAGAATGAACAAATTAAATACCTTGTGGAGTTATTTACATAGTGGAATTAAACGCTGTAATGAGAAGGAACAATCTATTACCCTACACAACAAAATGAAAAAAATCTCACAAATATGTTGTTGAGTGCAAGAAGTCAGACACATACACTCATACAGGCTGAGTCCATTTATATAAAGTTTACAAACAGACAAAACTAACCTATAGTGTTAGCAGTCAGTATAGTGGTTGATTTCATTGGGAGCACAAAGAGAACTTTGAGATTCTCTAAATGTTTTGTTTCTAGATTTGGGTGCTGGTTACACAGGTATGTTTGCTTTGTGAAAATACTTTGAGCTGTATAGTTAGGATTGGCCTATTTTTCTATATAAATATTGATAATGCAATAAAATCTACAAAAATTACCACAACTTTTCTCTCCTCTCACCCTACCTCCCTCAAGTGATTAAGTTATAACCCTCTCCAAGGGGCCCCACACTTAAATCCAAACAGATCCCATGATTTCTATAGATAATAGTAAATCTAGTTATAACTTATGTTATGTTAGTCACCATACAATACATCATTAGTTTTTGATGTGGTGATCCACGATCCATTGTTTTCATATAACACCCAGTGCTCCATGCAGTACGTACCCTCCTTAATACCCATCACCAGGCTAACCAATCCCCCCTCCCCCCTCCCCTCTAAAACCCTGTTTGTTTCTCAGAGTCCATAGTCTCTCATCGTTCATCTCTCCCTCTGACTTCCCCTCCCTCCATGCTATTCCTTATGTTCCACAGATAAGTGAAACCATATGGTAACTGACCTTCTCTGCTTGACTTATTTCACTTAGCATAATCTCCTCCAGTCCCAACCATGTTGATGTAAAAGTTGGGTATTCATCCTTTCTGATGGCTGAGTAATATTCCATCGTATATATGGACCACATCTTTATCCATTCATCTGTTGAAGGGCATCTCAGCTCTTTCCACAGTTTGGCTATTGCAGACATTGCTGCTATGAACATTGGGGTGCATATGGCCCTTCTTTTCACTACATCTGTGTCTTTGGAGTAAATACTGAGGAGCGCAATTGCTGGGTCATAGGGTAGCTCTATTTTTAAATTTTTGAGGAACCTCCACACTGTTTTCCAAAGTGGCTGTACCAACTTACATTCCCATCAAAAGTGTAAGAGGGTTCCCCTTTCTCCACAACCTCTCCAATATTTGTTGTTTCTTTCCCTGTCCATATACATTATTTTTTGAACGTTTAGTACAAGAACAACAATAATAAACTAATGTAAAATAGCTCATCAATATTTTTATATTGATTACATCTTGAGTAGTTTGATGTACTTACATCTGAGTATTGGAGTGGTTCTAGAATACTATTTTGGATATTTTGGGTCAAACAAAACATATTATGAAATTAAGTTTACCTCTTTTCTTTAAACTTTTTTTTTAATGTGGCTACTAGAAATTTTAAATTCCACATGTGTCTTGCATTATTTTTTTATTGGACAGTGCTGGGTTCATGATACACTTGGCAGAACATAAAAATGTACAAGTGGGGAGATATTGTAATTTGCAACCACAGAACATAGAAGCAGATTTAACTCAGATTTAAATTAGAGGAATATTGTTAGCATATTTGGGACTACTATAAACATGGTTTTTTCAACCTAAGGATCAACATATTTTACTAGTGTGTAACATATTTACATAGTGTGATACCAGAATTTTATTAAATTGGCAAATTATCTTGCTTACTGTGCTCAAATGGTGAAGGGTTAAACTTGAGAGGGCATGGACTAGTGAGTTCAAAGGGTTATTTTGCATTTGATATGAAAGAGGACATTTCATGGATAATCTTTTTCCTTCCTGAGTGGTCACATTGTCATGCAACAGACGGCTGGTGGCCTTTCTTCTCAATCTAGAATTTATTTACCTTCAGATTGTCAGAAACCATAGTAAAACAAGTGTTCTAGCAGAATCAATTTTAGTGGGGTGGGTGGGGAGTTAAAATTTTAAACTGTCATTTAAAACTTTATTATTTCTGTATCAAAGATACAGAGAAAAAAGAAATGCTAAAACTTAAAGATAAAACACGGGCACATAATCACTCATCAGATTTGTTTTTATCTAATGGAGACTGCATCCCAAAGGGAATGGCCCCAAGGATAGGAAGTGAATAGGCCATTGGCCTGGGCATGACAGCCTTGGGTTCTGGCCTCAGCTCTTCCACTAAAGAGTGGCCTCTGGCTACCTCTCCTTGAAGTTTCCAGGGAGATTGGGAGAGGTGCTGTTTTAGGCTTCCCTAACGTTGGGGGTGGTCTTTCCTCCACATAGAATGGTCTTCTTTAAGGTCCCACTCATTCTTTGACATCTACCTCATATGATGTCTTTTCTTAGATGCTGTTCTCAGTTTCCCCAGGCAAACTTGGTCATTTTCTTCTGAGATCATATAAGCTTCATTACATAATTATTATAGCACTTACTAAGTTGAACTTTCATGAGGCCATCTTCTCTACTACAGAAAGAGCCCTTGGTGTGCCGATACTGTGTGTAGGATGTTCATCTTGGCAACCACAGAGTACTGACACAGTATAATGCAGTACTCACACATAGTAGGTGCTTGTTGAGTTGTATGCTGTCTTTTGATGGAGAAAAAAGACAGCACTAAGCCCAGAGTAGGGGATGTCACAGGGAAGAAAGTCAAGAGGTCACATAATGCTAGGGCAACAAGGTGATTAGGTAGTGAGCTCCACCTTGAAAACACCCATACTTGAAGAAGGCCTCCAGCAAGGATGGAGGGTGCCCAAATATTGCCACCTTGGTAAATTTCCCCATGAGCCTTTCCTTCCCAGAGAGTCAGGTGACAACTGCGTCCTGGCCCAGTCACCCAGAAATGAGTAGAACTTCACGGTGAGTATCTGGGGTATCTTCCTCCACTTTCCTCTTCCCCATGTCTGCCATCCAGGGGCTTATCTATAACAGATGCATCACTAAAAGTCCTTAGGATAATGTAGAATGTGTTGTAAGCAATCAAACAGCCAACTAACTAGTAAGAAGTGGGTGTATCCAAGAACATCCTGAGAAAGTGCCCTCTGTGAGTCTTTATTATTAGCCCTAGCTTGCGGAGAGGAAGAAGAGAGGAAATGCTGGTGTCCATATTAGGTCTCCAGATCCAGCCTTCTTCTGGATTTCCAGTGGTCAAGTAGATAGTAAACTAATATTCAAATATACTTATTTTTATGACCACATGTCTCACAGCTGAGTTACGAGTGGTTTTGCATCTAGGGTCTTATCTTCATTTGCAGAAAATAACAGTCCCCACTCGCAACCCCCATTTTTATAGAACTTCTCTGTTTGGTGCTCACAGCTCAAACTTAATAAACAGATATGAGAGAGTCCCAGAATGGCTGGACATTTTCTACATCAGGAAGCCATGCCTCTCAAAGTTAGACTGGGCTGTCTGGATGGGGTATTCATTAAGGAATACTGAAAAATGTGGCTCATTTGTATTAATTGAGAGCTGCTTTCCTCCTCCTGCTCTTCACACTGAAGAACTAAAAATGTAGGAAGACCTTGGGGAAACAAAACACTAACAAAAACTTAATGAGCTTGCTTCCTGCAAACATTCAGGCCAGATCCTAATTGGGTGGAGGTGGCCTGAGTCATATCAAGTTGCAGTTGGTGGTCTGAGTATTTGAGTGGTTCTAGAAATTATATTCAACATTTTGTCTTTGTTATGTAAATATGGGAATTTTTTTTTAATCCCAAGAAAACATAGCTATAGTCTGAACCAAAGGTACAAATAAATTCATAGTGATTTTTATCTCTTTCTCTCTGACTTTAGTATTTTTTTTTTAGTCTCTGAAGGTCAATAACAGCCACAAACTAGCTAGTGACAATGGATCTCCAAATTGCTATGTTGTGCCTACTTTTTCTTATCCTGGAGGTTTATTTATCCAATGGGATACTGAAAACCTGCTTTGTGAATAAAAGAACAAATATAAGCTGGTTGTATCCTCTTCCCAGCTTTCTCAATGGTATTTTCATGTGCCAAACACTGGGCTTGCTGTCATCAGTCAAATCATAAAAATCAGATGCAGGAGAAAATACCAATATTATGCTTATGGACTGTATACTTCTGCTGGATTTTTATTGATACTGACTGGTTTATACTTTTTAGTCAGAACATAAAGACTGATGGCCTTCAAACTGATGCTGACTAATAGTAGAGTGTGGGTGTTATTAACAAGCTTATTTCACCACCACCAATTCTTTCTGTTCAGCACATGTGAAGAGTATTTTCCAAACTGTGACTGTAGTCACTTTTTGTCCAGAATAGCCTGTTTGTAGATTGTTTCTTAGACTTGATCTGGGAGCAGACTGGCATTTCATGACAACCTGCGAGCAGACTCACCTGGCTGTTCCAATTGTGCCATGGATATCAGCCCACATCTGAACCACTTTGCTTGAACTGGGGATGTGGATGTGGGAAGTTAGGGGTAGACATTGACAACGTCCTTGGTCTTCCTCAAGTTGAGGGATATACATAGGTGCCAATGTCAATGAAAGTTAATCTGTATTCTCAGTATGTTTGGATATAACAAGATTTTTTGTCTAAATGACGTAAAAGAGACTAAACTTTGATGTACATTGATGTGCACTGGATTTGGAAATCTGGACAATTGCTAATAAATCTAGAGGATTCTTCTTCCCAAGTTGCGAAGAGGGCAGGTACTTATCTACAACAGCAAACATTTTATGGAGGGCCAGAGAGAAAATAGTTTGGACTTTGTGGGCCAGATGGTCTCTGTTACAACTATTCAACTCTGCTCTTATAAA